CATAAATTAAAAAAAAATATATCTATAAACATATAAAACAAAACTTTATAAATGACTTAATTTTAAATGAGTTCTTCCTAATTGACATTTTACCTATTCAGCAGGAGAAATATATATCAGCGAATGAGAAATGACTGCAAGACTCCCATTCCTAGAAGCAAGAACCTTCCTCCAGCATCAAAGCGCCTCCCTCGGAGGAACCCACCAACTAACAAAGAAATGAAGCAATAAATTAAGTAATAAAATGTTTTGCCAAGGTCGGTAGTGAGCTCACGAAACATTCTTATCCTCCTCTTAATTAATACAACACACTTATTATCTTTTATTACCTTTTTTTTATATGTAATTGTGATGAATTTATCATTATTAATTTTTTGTTTCTCTATTTCGCAAATTGCCATCCTACCTTCCTTGGGGTTTTCAGATGCTGTTTGAGAGTGTTCTAATTTTTTTTGTTTTGTGCACTATTTTTTATATATATTTTAGACCTTTTGGGGGGGCTGATAATTCATTCTGGTTGAAAAATTCAAAATTGAATAATAAAGAATGCAGAGGTTTTTCTCGAGTGGTTTGAAATTAGTTTTGGAATTATACCGTGCCAGATTGTCGGGACCAAGATTATGAAGAGAGGTGTAATCACATCGGGTCATAAATCGTCTATACAATAAGAATACGCGACTCGGATTGGTCAGCGAGCAGTGACGTGAAGCACAGTTACCAACTACACGAGAGAAGTTAATTCCACCTGGACACTATTACCAAACAATGCCACTTTCCTTGAACTGGCTGAATATTATTTCTCGATAAGCCGTCCGTTACTAGGAAAATTTAGGAAAACGAGGAAGGGTAGATATTCAGAGGAAAGCTACAGAATCAGGTCCCCCTCCCCCCCAAAACAAAATTGTTGTTAATGATGTAGGACTGGGTTTGTTAGCCTGCTAGACACTCTTGGGTATTTTATCGCTGATCTTGTCATAAATAAGCGCTTCTCTCCCCTCCTACCCTCCTTCCCAGGTCCTTCCTACCCTTATGATCAGCTGGGGTAGCCACTGATCACCCACCAACATTCCTTACGTTTCTCGTCTTATTCTCACCATCAGCGGCTCCACAAGGCCTGTTTCCTTGACTTCCTTATCGAAACAAACTCGACAAATGATTATCCGGTGAACGCAACCCAAAGATTACCTATTTACATTGTGTTTATTATCTTTATATATACCGTGAGTTGACGCCGTCGGCAGCTTCTTGGAGGTCAGGGATAACCTCTAAGTGCCAAATTAATGCCACTGAGCAACCATCGGTGAGGTTGGCACTCTCGTAACTTTAGACACAACTCTGGTCCTTAATGGCCCGATATCAATTGTGATGTTCTGTCTCCCAGGCGGCGAGATGCTGGAAGTAATTGCCTATCCCTTTTTGTGTGGGCTCGTGCGTGAGGACAAGATGGTCTTAAGAGACATCTTCTCGATGCTGGTAACTTGGGATCAAACTGGTTTACTTGGCGACCTTTGGCTTCGGTCTTTCTGTCCGTGGGATCATCCTTGCACGATGTTTGGTGGGGGGTTTGTGGGTAGTGAACTTTATGACAGGTGGTGGTGGTGGATGGTAGGTGGTTGGTGGTGGAGATGGTAGTGGGTGGTTGTGGTGGTTGGTGGTGGTGGTGATAGATGTGATGACGGTAGTGGAGTTGGTGGTAGTTACTGAGGATGTAGTAGTGGTAATGGTGGTGATGGTGATGTAGGTAATGGCTAGTGATGTAGAAAATGGTGGTAGTTGAGGCTGTAGTGGTGACGATGGTGGTGATGGTGATGTAGGTAATGATTGCAGTGATGGAGATGGTGTTGGTGGTAGTTGAAGTTGTAGGGGTGACGATGGTGGTGATGGTGGTAGAGCTGATAATAGTGGTACAGAAAGCAACCAGTTTCACGGATATGATACTTCAAAGTTATTAATGTTGGAAGTTGATAGGATTAGAAATGGTGAACACGATAAAGTTAAACCGGTGAAGATGAGAAGGTTAAACAGGTGAAGGTGATGAGAGTTAACAGATGATGATAATATTAAACAGGAGAAGACGATAAAGTTAAACAGATGAAGATGACAGGGATTAACAGGTGAACATGACAGGATAAATAGGTAAATATAAAAAGATTAAACGGGATAAGGCGATAATTACAAAAGAAGTTTATGATAATGGTGGGAATAAATAGAGAAGAAAATGAAATAATGGTGATGGTGACAACGATGTCAATAATGACTGTGATAGTGATAATGTTAATAATTAAAATGCCAGGAATATTGGCAATAGAGATAATTATAAAAAGATATTAAGTCAACAAAAATGATACGCTTAACACATTGTCCATCTCCTGCCAAGGCAGGTGACTCGAAAAAGAAGAAACTCTTTCACCATCATTCACTCAGTCACTGTCTTGCTTGTGCCGACTTTGCAAGTCGGATGACCCACCAAACTGTAACATCCCCAATAATCGTCAGAGTAAAGAAAGTTTGCCTTTCACCACCAGGCCGCAAAGCCGGATAACCGTTTTCTATGTGTCTCTCTCTCTCTCTCTCTCTCTCTCTCTCTCTCTCTCTCTCTCTCTCTCTCTCTCTCTCTCTCTCTCTCTCTCTCTCTCTCTCTCTCTCTCTCTCTCTCTTTTACACAGGGTTTAACAAGGTTAAGAATCCCTAGCTTTATTGACAAGCTATTTACAGGTTAAGGATTCCTAACTTTATTGGCAAGCTAAGAGCTGTTACCTACATCAGCTCATTTGAAAGCATTTTTATTGTTATGAGACATACAAGCAGGGAACAGGATGAAGTTGGAGCCATCTGTGGGCCAGTATTTTCATGTGATCGTTGACATCATTATGCTGTACGAATGTGTTCCATACTCGAGTCATCCTGGGTATATATGATCTCAGATGGAGTGATGTTCTGGAGAAGGGTACAGCCAGAGTGAAGTTGCTGCTTTCTGCCCGTCTTGTGGCATAACAGCTTGTTTCACGCTGTCTCTCTCTCTCTCTCTCTCTCTCTCTCTCTCTCTCTCTCTCTCTCTCTCTCTCTTCTCCTCTCTCTCTCTCTCTCTCTCTCTCTCTCTCTCTCTCTCTCTCTCTCTCTCTCTCTCTCTCTCTCTCTCTCTCTTCTCTCTCTCCTCTCTCTCTCTCTCTCTCTATCTCTCATACTCTTCTCTCTCTTCATCATCTACTTTCTCTATATATATATATAATATATATAATATATATTATAAATATATATATATATATATATATTTATATATATATTATGTATGTATACAATAAGATCACAGTAAACAGGTGATATCAGAATAGACAAAACAACCACTGTGAACGAAAAGCGAAATTCCAAGCGCTTTCGTGACTTCTCACATTCGTGAGAAGTCACAAAAGCGCTTCCCCTAATTTTTTTTTTTTTTTGAACATCCCGAGAATATCTTTAGCATTTGGTGTGCGAGACTTGGTGACACAAGACAGATGTTAAATCTTGGGCACAGACATTAAAACCATCTTAATGATGCGTTCCAACCATACAATAAACATGCGTATTTCAGTTAATAGTTAGTCACTTATTTCTTAAACATACTCATCAGACTCCCTCTAAATATCTCCATTGTCGTGTTGAATACTATTGTTAATAATAATAATAATAATAATAATAATAATAATAATAATAATAATAATAATAATAACAATAACAACAGCAACAAAAGTAATAATAATAAAATATATTATTATTGTTCTTACTATTAATATTATTATATTATTATTATTATTATTATTATTATTATTATTACTTGTATTTGAAACTGAGATTAGAAAACAATATTACATAACAGAACAATCAACATTTTACAACCTAATCAATAAACCTTATTTTCTTTCGATAATCAATGGATAACCTTTAAAAAACTGATCAGTAACATCACACAGTGGTGGCACTTAGAGGGGGTCCTGATACTTTCAATGTTATAACCATACTAACCTTATACCCGTCATCATGCATCAAGGCGATGTGTGTTAATATGGGATACAAGTTTAGGCAGATCATTGGTCATTATTCGCATTAACAAAGAGGAATCCACGACCAAAGGACCACTAAGGTCCCTCGCTCTCAACTGGAGAGTCTGTTATTGCGAAAATAAATATAATATTTGAACACACACTAATTTCCTGACCTGAATTAATTACAGCACGGTTGTTACAATTAAATTTAATTTACGAGCCGACTAATGACAATTAATGCAAGCTGACTGGACCCAAACAAACAGAGACATTAGTTTGAACACATGAGAGTTGGTTTTCTTATATAGACAACATAGGAGGGAGAAAATGGCATTGTTTATAAATTCACATGTAAACTTATAAAACCTAAGAACATGTAAAATATTTATATATAATCTATAACCAGACTGAAAAGCTATATTATTATCAAGAAAATTTAATCAATGGTTTACATTTGAAAAATCTTTATTGACAAGTAATATAAACAGTTTGAATAGAGGTTTACAGAGACACTTTAACTTCTCGACAGGATGTGCAGTTCTAGTAAATGAAATGTTAAATGCAACGTAGAAACTGAAAGTGCTATTCACATTGAGTCAAATATGGAGTGAGGAGTTTATGCTATACTTCTTTTATGGTAAAAAATCTGGTAGAAAATTATGCATTTTATTCTCATTATGAAATTCAGTAATTTATAATGCAGCTTTTCTATTCAGTGAAGTGGTTGGTTTAAAGTCTCATATACTGCAGATACAAATAAAATCCAGTCAGCAAGAGAACTCTTCTAAGAGAATATGTGTAATACAAAGAAACACAGCTGCACTCAGAAGTCAAAAATCTATGTTAATGAAATTATGAAGCTACTCGGACTCAAGATCCGTCAGAGGACAATTATGAAGCTACTTGGACTCAAGATCCGTCAGAGGACAATTATGAAGCTACTCGGACTCAAGATCCGTCAGAGGACAATATTCTTACCTGAAGAAGAGCTCGGAAATTATCCATCATTGACGTCCCGGACATAACCTGCAGAGAGAGAAAAAGAGAGGCAGTGAGAAGAGGGCTACAAGAAATTTATATACAGAGAGGAACACAAAATATCCTAAATCTATTAAAATTAAATATTAATTTGTAAATAATATATACGCAAATGTACTCATGATAACAATAATAGAGCCCTATTCTTAGTTTTTCTGTATATCCATATACTAATGCCCTTCCATCCATAGGATGGTTATGAGGTGCACAAAAAAACCAGCTACAGCCCATCCACAGCATGAATTAGAGGTGCACAATAAACTAGTAGCTGTGGAGGCAAAATCTAAAATCTAAAAGTGTATTAAATACCGGTCACTGGCATGACCCAACCTATCGAAGAGACGATGAGACGGTAAATGAATATTGATAATTTTAGACTCACAATAAGGCCTCCTATAATGTGTATACTGTATACGAAACATGTGGTGCTTATATTTTTTCCTCTATGAGGATTTGTACATATCACATACACACTACCTGGCAAGGGGCACAAGTACACACAGCCATCACCACCCTATGACGTGGAAATATAAACACATATGCAGTATAATGTGATCCTTTATTGACAACGTTTCGCCCACACAGTGGGCTTTTTCAAGTCACAAACAGATCTGTTTGTGACTTGAAAAAGCCCACTGTGTGGGCGAAACGTTGCCAATAAAGGATCACATTATACTGCATATGTGTTTATATTTCCATTGTGTCGGTATTTTATACCATTTATTTCCACCCTGTGACGTACAAGTTTCATCGGTACTCAGTTCATCTCCTCATAACTCATCACGTTTGTTATTCGTCACATACTCAATTTATCACGTTTATAATTCATTATGTATATAACTCATCACGTACATAATTCATTACGTATAATAATCATAACGAAAATAGTCATCCACGCATAAAAATCAACACTCATACATGACTCACGAAATCGTAATGACACGATTGCAAACAAACCATAATATGGGCGGGATAGAACCCGCGGTCAGAGAGTCTCATATATAATTCAAATAGAGACACAAAGATTACAGGGGATGGGGGGGGGCGAGCGTTGTACAGACATGATTACGAAGACTTTTTCTAGGAAATAACTGCGTTTCAGAAACACAAAATAGACACAAGGATACATACATGATAACAGACTTTACAGACGATGCAGAATACCTTTAGTGGAAATCAAGGAAACGGTGTGAGAGAGCTCAGTTAGCGTCAAGGGATCGCGACTCTTCAGCACACTCCCATTATACATAAGAGATATTACCAATAAATCCTCCCTAGCTGTCTTCAAGAGGAAACTCGACTGATTCCTCCGAACGGTTCTTGGTCGGCCGAGTTTTGGTGCATACGATGGACTACAGGCGGCTGGGACTAACAGCTTGGTTGATTAGGCCAGTGAAAAGAGGCTTGATCTGGGACCGGGCCGCGGGAGAGTTGGACCCCAGAAGCGACTCCAGGTATATGCACACTTACACACACATATGTGCTTGCCAACGCACCCACACAAACACATACACACACACACACACACACACACACACACACACACACACACAACCCCACACACACACACACACACACACACAAATATTTATAACTATCATTATCGGGAAGAAAACATTGTTATTACAGACCAGTTATTATCATAAATGCGTCTGAGAGAGAGAGAGAGAGACAGAGAGAGAGAGAGAGACAGACAGAGACAGAGACAGAAAAAGGCACAGGAAGGGAAAGTTTCATTACTATCGCTTATTGATTATTGTTCTTCCTATACACAAACCTTCGTTTGTCTTTGTATTTACCTTGTTTACCAGCCTTCTCATCTTATCCCAAACCCTGTATCACTTTGGTATATATTCCTCTCTTTCGTCTCTCTTCCTCCTCTCCATAGATTAAGACAATCTTAATTTATGCTTTATTAATTACTTTGTTAATAATATATAATAAAATATTTACAAATTTATCAAGTGTTGTGTCTCACTTTCGCTTTCAGAAACTTATGTTTGACTTCAGGATTTCATTCTAAGTCCCGCAAAAACAAAAAAAATAGTTGCAAAATATTCTTCTGTTTGGGGTACTTTTCTGTGTACAGCTTCAGCAAGTAAACGTAAGTCTCTATTACAGAGCGAAATGTTCTCCCATAAATGCCTGTCCTTCAACGTGCCTTTTCCTCACTATTGTCTTCAATGTACTCTTTCGGATCCTTGCTGCAAGCTGTTTCTCTTTCTCAACATCATTCTTCTAATTTACTGTTCCTTTCCCACTCCTTTCACTCACACAAAACTGGTCACTACGCCCCCATTTCCTAAACTTCCTTTATCGTTCACTAGAGAATTTCATAACCTCCATAAATGAAATTTCCTTAAATTTGCTTGCGTAGCCCCCCTCCCTAAAATAGCCTTCGTAGCCTTCGTTCCCGAAAACTTCAATGCTTAACATCCCTCCCTAAAACTTCCACGAGCAGCTTCCTCCCTTCCTTCTCTCCTTACCCCTCTCCATCCCACTCTCCTGAACTCCCTTCAGTATACCATCCTCACTCGATTCTTCTCCCTCTCTACATCTTCCGTCTCTCCCTGATTTCCCCACTCCTATCCTCCCATCATCCATACTTTTCTCCCTCTTTCCCCTTTCCTATTTCTCTCCCTCCCTCTCTGCAAGTCGCCATATTGCTGACAAACAGTGCAAAAGATGCTATTTGAACTGAGTAATGGTAACCCCGATCATACCTGAAGTTTGTTTCTCGGATGGAGGAGCAAGTTAGAGGCAGGTGGTAGCTAGCAGAGAAGAGAGAATATCTAGAGTAGGGAGGGAAAGGCAAATGTAGTGAATACTATTAGAGAGAGGGAGAGAGAGAGAGAGAGAGAGAGAGAGAGAGAGAGAGAGAGAGAGAGAGGGAGAGAGAGAGAGAGAGAGAGAGAGAGAGAGAGAGAGAGAGAGAGAGAGAGAGAGAGAGAGAGAGAGAGAGAGAGAGAGAGAGAGAGAGAGATAGGAAGACAGACAGACCGACGGAATATATGTGCAAATGCGATAATGGAATCCAATTTGAAAACGAGAGTGTTAGGTTAATGAGAATGCAAAATTCCGACTGGCAGCAAATTATATAGAGACTTATATCAAAGGACAAACTTTTATAAGACCGCATTTCGCTCAACGCCGAGCATTTCATAAGCGATACGTCGTTTAATAAAGTCTCGCTATGCTGAAGACAATTTTGTATTACCTAAATGTTTGGTAGGCAAGGAGGAATTTAGGGAGAAAAGATGAGGAGAGGAGAAATGGGGAGGAAAGGTAAGAAGAGGAGAAATGGGGAGGAAAGGTGAGGAGAGAAGAAATGAGGAGGAAAGATGAGGAGAGGAGAAATGGGGAGAAAATGTGAGGAGAGGAGAAATGGGGAGGAAAAGTGAGAAGAGAAATGGGGAGAAAAGGTGAGGAGAGGAAAAATGGGGGAAAGGTGAGGAGAGGACAAATGGGGAGAAAAGGTGAGGAGAGGAGAAATGGGGAGAAAAGGTGGAGAGGAAAAATGAGGAGAAAAGGTGAGGAGAGGAGAAATGGGAAGAAAAGGTGAGGAGAGGAGAAATGGCAAGTAAGAGGCCAGGATAGTGAAGAAGTGTGGGAGGGTTGCTTTTTAATATCGTGATGGGCTGGAGCAATACACATAGCTTTCGATTAATTGGTTTAGCATGTAGCATTGCTGCAAGTTATTGTTCTCCCGACCACCAGGGCCAGGGAGTGGTAATGTGATCAAGGATGTTTCTTGAGACAGAGGGAAGTGTGTGTGTGTGTGTGTGTGTGTGTGTGTGTGTGTGTGTGTGTGTGTGTGTGTGTGTGAACAGAAGAGTACACATTTCCTGTCTTTCTCCTCCTTACCTAATCTTCCTTTTCTTCCGTGCCTTTTCTCCCTCCTTTTCCTTATTTTTGTCTATCCGCCTTATAAAAACCTTGAGCACTTATAAAAGGTCAGGAGTATGGAAGAGTTCGGTGGCACTCGGGAGCTCAATTGTTAATTCCAGGTGATGCTGGGAGGGCCAAACCCCCGCACGGATTCCATATAAACAACATTAAGGTCAATAATAGGATAATTTCCCCAGGGCGTCGGAGGCCCTGCGTGGGACCCTACCAAACAACCTCATCTCTTCTGCTTACGTCCTGGCTACCAGTTCAGGCTCGCATATCTTCATTTGTGTGTGTGCGTGTGCGTGTGTGTGTGTGTGTGTGAGAGAGAGAGAGAGAGAGACAGATTGCATAACATCCACTAACCCAGTTTTCATAATAATTTCTTTTTCCTTCCTCACGGAAACATAGGCTGAAAAGATTAAATGAAACACTAAACATTCAAAAGCCATTATTTTTTCAAGTTTCACCTACAGTGGAGCATAATCCAGCTTCATGGAGAAAGAAACGTGGTGAAATGAATATTATACTTGCTTATGCATCTTTGAGTTAACAGTATTAAGTCATCTCCTCCCTTTTATGGAGTTCCCATTGCAGGATGCTGGCCCCGTAGATTATTTGTTTTTTACAGGTGGCTTCCTCTCCCCTTTACGTGGAGACAAGAAACACAGATTAAAGCCACTGCGATACTGACTTAAATTCACCTACTTAATTTCTCTTTATCTCCTGATCTTCCTTTAATACCTCCCTTCCTTCTGACTCTCCATTATTGCAGCCTTGCTTTCTGACCATCTCTTAATTACCCTCTCCGTCTTAACCATCCCTTTCGTCTCCCTTTCATGCAAACACTCATTTTCTGCCCCTTTAACTCCATTTTCATCATTGTTCTTCCCTTCCCTTCCAACACTTCTTTCCTACCTCTGTTTTATTTGACTACCCCTCATTGCCTCCCTTCCCATCTAACCTCTCTCACTGACTCACTTCCCTTGTAACCTCCCTTAACTTCCTTTTCGCTTCTTGCCTTCCCATTCTGCCCACTTCCATCCTCAACCCACCCTGATGACTCTTTCCAAATGTTACTCCACAAGAAGATTCTCTAC